TGGCATTATTGATAGCACATTATGATGCGATGAGAACGGCATAAACCAGTGCACAACCAGATTATGAGCCCAGACGAGAAGAACCAAAGCGTTAATCGGCAGAATCCACAGCATCAGGAGGAAGATTGAATAAGCAAAGTTGGCGAAGTTATAGTGGGTTGTGGATTTCTGATAGCTATTAGCATTGTTGGATAGATGACAACAGGAACGAAAGCTTACAGCTTCCTTCGCATGCCAGTTGGCGCGGACACTAGTAGCTAACTGCACAATGCACGCCACCATGTATGCGAATTGATATGGAATGACAGTCGACACGAGAGCCAATAGAATGGCCGAATTAACAAGTCGTCTTCGGGGACTTGAAGAAGAGAAGATAGGGAGGTTTCTATGTGGAGTTAGTAGGCGAAGCTATGTAGGAGTGACGTGACGCACCCTTTCTCATCTCGTCGAATATAGCCCGACTTGCTCCTAAGAAATCCGTAGATGGTAGTGAGAAGAAAGATTAAAGCAAGAGCTACATAGTTGATCATAAGACACACTCCAACGCTAATCAGGCCGAACACCGGCACTAGGAACCAGAAGAAAGCGTCCTGCGAGCCCAGGAGGAGGTCGTTCTTGGTGAAGTCAACTGGGGATTCAGTGGAGTTCGCACGCCAATGGAACGGGTCGTCAGTAGGCGGCAATTTTGTAGATGTCGCCAGGGAAGATGCTAGCAGTGACATAGCCAAAAGGAGCATGGGAAGGGATGATCGCAGTGCACTGTCCAGACCTTCGGCGAATGTGATGAAATAGCCTGTCTCGTCGTACACCTGGAATTGCTTACGCATGACCAGGGCAACAACAAGGAGCGGGAATGCGGCGAACACGGTACGGTACCGCATGACTAGCTCGCCGAGACTACTAGCAATATCCACCGATAAAGAAATGTCAATCGTGGAATCACAGCTCGGATCTGTCCAAAGGTGAAAAGAAACACCACCCAATGTCGCTTGCTCTCGGAGAGGCGGAGGCATGAAGGGTGCCAGACCATGCAAGTTCACATTAACATCCTTGACATTGACGAAAAATTTAGACTCATGTGGATCTGCGACAGACTGTCGCAAAAGGGGAGCAAACAGCTCTTGCTGTTTTCCGTGATTCTTTCGGACGATCTTGAGCCTGTAGTCCAGTAGACTCGAGTGCACGGCGGGAATGTGGAGCTCCGTGAGCATGGGACGGTTCGCCGGCAGACGCACCTTTAGTCCGGCACTGAGGAGGCTACCCAGACCTAACCGAGCCCTGATAACAGAGTCCGAGCTATCTGAAAATTCGGCCAACACAAAGCCCTTGGTGGGCGAGTTTGCTTTGTCTACAACGGCTACAAACTGGTGCTCTGCAAGATCCTCCAGGTCGTACTGGAGGTAAGAGAAGGGCTGGACTCGGTCATAAGGACGCTTCGAGGAGGGCGTCGATGCCGGCAAGTGGATTCCATCTTCAGCGGCGTTCTTGCAGGCGAGACGAGTTGAACCTGAGGTGCCTCCGGAGAAGTCCATGTTCATCGAAAACGCCGTTGCAGGTTTCCCATTTTGCAGAGGGAACACACTGCAGAACAGAACCTCTAGGCTCCCATCATCCCCGGGTTTATCAAATTGCTGGTTTGTAAGAAGGGTGAACTTCTTTCCGGATACGCCTTGCGGAGGAATCGGTAATAAGTGCACGTTCGGCCCTCTGCGGTGGCCCAAGTCGCGAAGAATGAGCCGTTTGCCTTGCGATAAGATTGTGTTGGACTGATCTTCCAGTGTCAAAAGAGTATTAGGCTCTGGTTTAAAGAATGTTAGCCAATAGCAAAACCAAGTGACTGGAAAATATTACCCTTTCGTGGAAGCGTCCTCTCTGCCACAGTCTCCATCCCAGTCAAATACCACTTCTTGAAAATCCGCATGCGCTCTGCTCTCGGTTTCGTCTGAGTTGCGCGTCGAACATCGACGACTTCAAACAAGGATTTGATGATGGCTTTTCGGAATTGATCGCACCAGGTGATGGACAAGTGGTCCATGCCGATCCAGACATCTGGGATAGTGGACGTGAATACAGTAAACCCGTGGGTCTCGGGAACAAGAGAAGAGATGCTGGCGTAATCAGAGGGCACAACAGTATCGCGAGAACCACCGGCAATGGAGATGAGTGTCACATGCCACAACGGATTGTCGTTGGCCCAAGTCTGCGAGTAGGCCTCGCGCCAATAATCGTTGATTTGCTTGTAGGTCTGAACGATATCCGAGTCAAACGAGACGGGGGGTTTCGCGTGGGGAGCTGACATGGTAACAATCGTATTGACCGAGTTTGCTTGGTAGTTCGTCATTGTTAACGCTGTTCGCGCAACGATACCACCCATAGAGTGCCCAACCAGGACAACTGCACTCGGATCAGGTAGCTCCGGATCTCTTCGTGAACGCCGCGGATCATGATAAAGCGAAAGAATATATGCCACGGCTTCGTTGACGTATTCGGCTTGGTCGAGTAGGGTCTGTCCATGGAAGGCCGCCATATCCTCGTTGAAATCGATCATGAAGAAATCCAAGCTTCGAGTACCAGCATTCACCCGATCTTCATCATGACGAACAACATCGTAGTAGTGTCTCGACGCTTCGGCGGCTAAGGATCGGACCTGCCGGTAGCTTCCAGCATTTCCGGGCAGGAACAAGACGGGGACTCCATTCAACTATATCGCATTGACGTTTAGCAGTGTATTTGGTGGAAGGTAGGGAAAGGCCAATAGGGTGAACGTACCCCGAGGTTCTCCTGACTATATGGATCAACACCTCCCTCCCGATAGAGATAGAGATTATATTTGCTGGCAAAGCGCGTATGTTCCGTGTCAAACCCCACCATGCGAATGAATGTCGGACTCATAACCGGTACTCCACAGCCATCTCCGCCAGTCTGACGAAGGGCGAATGAGCGGAGAATAAAGAAGAGGAAGATTGAAGCGATGAAGGTGGTAAAGGCTGTCAGAATGGAACACGGCCACGGACTGCGGAGGCGGGACGGTCGATACCGATGCTGATGGTCCGGTGACGCCTCCATGGGTAGACGCGGAGAAGCCAATGGCATGATGACGGAGGACGACTTGGAATCTGGAGGGATTGAGGTAATTGATGAGGATGGCAGCGTCCGCCACATGCTCGAATTTCGGGACCTGGGGGTCGAGGCGCCCGTGGCGTCTCTCCGGAGGTCGATGCTGGTGCCAGTGCGGGCTACCTGCGAACGCGATTTTTCCGGCGTGTCGACGACATTGGGGCCATTATTTGGCTCTGGTGGAGTTCGAGAGCTTAACGAATCTTCAGCGTCGTCCTCGACAGGCGAGCCAGACGAACGTCTGTGCATTGGAAGCAGCGGAGGTCGTCGTACTCATCCAGCACGCAGGGGCCGATCGATCGAAGGTTCGGAGGAGACTTCGGAGGGCGTGTCTAGCGACAGCGGCACGTAATCAGGGGATAAGAAACAAGGAGACAAAGAATGCTCAATATCTCGAACCGATAAGTAATTGGAAGGGAAACCGATGAACCGACCGGGGTAGAAAGATCGGTGGTTGGTTGCGCCGTTCTTGATTTAATTAATTTTCTTTTTCTTTTTTTCTTTTTTTTTTTTTTTTTTTTACCTTTCCAAAGTACGTAGGCCCCTAGGGAACGAGGCCGAGACCAGAAACGAACGAGCGGCAGGCCGACCGAGGTTGGAGAAGAAAAAGGAATGTATAACTGTAAGGGAATTAAATTGTATCTGCACCAGGAAAAGCGAGAGTGATCAAACAAAACCACCACCAGAAAGAACAATAGGGAAAAAAAAAAAATTCAGAAAAGAGAAAAAGGAAAAGAACAGCGATCACCCTGGAGAAGAAGGGGTGAGGTCGAGCGCAACGTTAAGATCCCACACGATAAAGCAATACTCTATCTTAACGACAAGGAAAACCCGTTTCCGGTCTTCTCTTGGCGGATGCACGCGGCACTCTCTCTCTCTGGTTCATATTGATTCGAATTTTTAAACTAAGTACTTTTCTCTCTACACCATCGTACGATCAAGTGAGGGAACAAACAAGAGCGCCTGCATTGATTGATTCTTGGTACCGTACATTGGCGATAGAGGCATGCAGGTTGGGTACAAGGGATCTCAATACGGTATCAGGGCAACGTCATCTTTAGTTCGTGGGAACGGATTAAGGATGCAAAGGGTGCGATTGACACGAATCCACTCGCGATCATAGCATAGATATACTATTCTTGGACTAGGGGCCAATCTTGTAGAGGATCATAATGTTTGTTTGCTCGAAGGCTGGTGAATGAGAGAACAGAGACAGAGCACGCCATCCCCGTGCCCCCATCAATAATTTAAGGCCAACCAAGGGCAATTTCCTCTCTGCCGACTCCAGGGTGTAAGACAAGCAACCTTGAACGTAAGACATCTTAACCTTATATGATTTGACGGTCAGAATGCGGGGTTTGTTTAGAGAAAAAAAAATTGCCCGTCATACAAAAAGGGAGGAATATCCCCGACGACTGGTATGTATGTGCATACGTTCCTTACTCGAGCACCCCCCGATGAGATGGGGTTTGATGCGTTGTGTAGTAGGTTGTTCCTTTCCAAAGCTCTTTAACTTGTCCGCGGCGAATGAAGAAAATCCTCCATGTGACCAATTCTCATGAGCATTGACCATATAAGATAAACAATTAAGCAGATTCAGATGCTACGTTCCATCCCACAAGATCATTTGAGTTGTGTATTGGGCATGATCAAATCTTACTGACTTCCATGCCCGTCTCGATAGGTCTAGTCTTCGCGTTGCCTTCGAAAGCGACTATGAGGGACAAAGAAACTGTACATATCGGGTAGTAGGGTTCGGCTTCCACGGGGAAGATACCGGGCGGGCTAGAGATCGGATGAATCCATGCCCGATTGAAAAGTGAATACAGCCCATCCATGGACTATAGAACAGTAAACACAATACCTTTTGCCAAATAATAAAGCTTCAACTATCTGTCTACAACTGTCGAACCAATTATGTATATGCAGTCCCAACATGCAGTAACTATCCTTCAATCCGAGAGACAGTGCCTTTCTCCACGTCGCTCTCGGCGCCTTTCCCCACCGTAGTCGTCCCACGATGTGCGGCCACCTCCGCCATATCAGTATCATGCGCAACATCGAATTGGCGGCCCAGGCGCTCCGGCCCTAGGAAGGTCACTATAATTGTGTAGGCGTACACACAACCCATGAAGATACAGATGACTTTCCCATACTGGTATCGATGTTTTTCCGTCTTAGTGGGTGGCAGGGGGAAGCGCTCGCCGATCGTGGATTCAATCGTGGAACTGGCCGACGAGACCAGGTTGCCCAACTGGTAGGCCGTTCCCACCGTGAAGGTGCGAATTGCTCCCGGAGACAGCTCCATCAAATGGATGGGGATCACTCCCCACGCGCCCTGCACGCAAAACTGCTCAAAGAACGCTGCGGCCATGACGTCGGTTGAGGTGACGAAGGTGTAGGGATATAGAAGCGCACCACCGACGATGCTGATCACGATGATAGAAAACCGACGCCCAAAGATCTGACTTGCCCACCCGCAGAGTGTCCCACCAGTGAGGGCTCCTAGGTTGGCAACAACCTGAGTAACGGTCACTGCGTTGGCAGAGAAGCTAAACTCGCTTTTCAAGAGGGTTGGATACAGGTCTTGTGATCCGTGCGACTACATAAACAAAAGTCTTAGGAGAAAATCTCAAATTAGGTCGTCCAGAGCAGTGACTCACCATGAAGTTGAAACCCGCCATCAGCAAAACGAGATAAATAAGGAGCAACCAATGCCGCTTCAGAGCTGTTTTACCTTCTGAGATGAAGGATGACGCTACTCCACCTCGAACGTTTTCTCGAGTAGCCTGCCGCTGAAGGAATGTATTGGTCTCCGGCAGACACAACCGGAAGAGAATAATCAAAACGGGAGGACAGGCGCCAAACCAGTACAGCGGTCTCCATCCATGAGAAGTGGTATCGACCAATCCCCGTGCAAATGCAGTGGCCAGCAGGTAACCGAATGCATACCCCTGCTGGAGCAGGCCAGACACGATACCTCGCGCTTCCAAGGGACAATCCTCGAGCGCTGTTGCTGCTGCATTTCCATAAAGACCACCCATGGCAATCCCAAAGAGAGCGCGGCAAGCTAAGAACTGCTTATAGGTCTGGCAAAAGCCAGTACCTAACTCCAACACGATAAAGAGGACGTTATTGACAACAAACGGCCACTTCCGACCCCAGCGATCGGAGGCAATTCCGAAGGTGATGGCTCCCACGGATCGAAGCATGAGTACGAGGGTAATTCCCCAGGTGATGTCGGAAACGGATTTATCGAAGGCCTCTGCCAATTGAGAAGTTGTTAGAGAAACCGTGAAAAAGTCAAATGCGTCCCACGACCAGCCTAGAAACGCGACCTAGAGGCGGTTAGCTGTGCCCAGCAGAGGTGAAAGTTAGCAGAGGTACCAAGAAGAAAAGCCATTGTTGTCTATTGAGAAGAGCAAGCGCCTTAAATGGATTAGGGGCGGGATTCATCGGTGGTATCAGCGTCGGCAGTCTCGTCCAGAGATATCTTCCTATACTCAGGTGTTCCATCTCATCGTTGTCCGGCGATGGAGCGTGGTTGCCACCAGGAGGCTTTTCATGAGCTTCTGCCTCCATGGTGAAAGAAGCCAGCTAGGCAGCACAAGAGACGACTGAAAGCAATGGATGAGTTTTGTACAAGAAGATGAGACTGGAACAGGGGGAAGCTCGGGGGAAAGAAAAAAGGAAATTCTTTTCAAAAGGCGAGGGGGTGAGAGAGATCTCCGATTTAAATCTCCGACAAAGCTCAAAATAGAAGGATTCAAGGCCCTGCGCCCAAAATACTGCTAAGGAGGGGCCCCGCAAAGTTTCCTCTCCATCCTTGTCGCTGGGGTGGCTGCCGATCGTCAACCTCGGGATGAGGTTGTAAGGACTGATGGTGGTGACGCTTGGGGGGCCTATTTCCTATTCAAGGGCATGGAAGTTCTCGTGGAACAGATGACCCATGGATTGCAAAACGGGAAGAGGACAGTAGTCCGAGTCATGAATGCATACTCCTTGCGGGAAGACCAATATCTGGCTCCATGCATGATGGGATCATCGTGGATTCAATCATCTGACGGTTAGGCTCAGCTTACCCATGGATTGATCTCTCTCTTTAGTACCCATCACATCGCCAAGCTTTTACTCCAGACCATGCCAAGCGCTCTCCACGTTCATCTTTATCTCCAGGTTTTTGGTAGTTGAATGTGCGAGGCTCTCCATTTTGACGCCATTTTTTATCGTTTCTCACGCCCATTTTCTGGCTATCTCAACGGTACCGATACACACTCCCTTCTCGTTGCTTCTCCGATGCCGCCGCCGGCGTCAAAGAGAACAAACTAGCCGAAGGCTCGGTGCTTACTCTCTAGCCATGGTCCTCGCCCGCGGGGTAGGAGCTCACTAGCGGATTTAGTCATTCCTGTTAACCTTTAGTCCGCACAACCAAGGATCACTACGGTAAAGTCTGACCGTAAGAGCTAACTTTGATTGATCAGCTTCATTCCACAAGACCCATCCACGCCGGCATATCGGCCATGGCCCGACCGGATTGGTGAGCTTCCCGCAACGGCATGGACAGATGCGGTCACAATCAAAACAACTTTCCAGCTGCTGGAATAGCTGCGGTCCCAAGTCACCCGTATCATGAGTGTCACCATATGCGCCATGTGATACGACGGCATTTGCTTCCCGAAGCGCACGGGCGGATGTATAGTTTCTTAGTCCAAACTTATAACTCGGCTAGGCACATGCCTTAAAAGGAACCGCCGAAGTATCTTTGTGTTCTCCTACCCAACTCTTGTTTTCCGCCCAGAACCTCTTAATCCCTCTTGGCTTTCGGCCCAGCCGGAGGGAAAAGCTTTTCCAGACAACTTCGTGTTCGCACACAATCCCGAGGTCTATGTAACGGTGCGTCCTTGAGTTACATCATTTCCTTGATTCCAGTGCAAGGGTCAATAGGAACCAATTTAATCATGCTTCGGCTAGTGGGTCAGGTTTGCGCATATTTTGACTTTGCCTGTCAATGATGTTATCAGTTTCTTTGTCCCTAATGCTGGGGGACATGACTCAGGATTCTCACTTCATACAATCAATCGGTGGGTGGTACCAACCACGCGGGACGCTATGTGACCTAATGCCAAGCGACTGTCCACGACGTGATACCACGTCGCTGGTCGCAAACTGGATTAACTAAGGCTGATAAGATGCCGATCTACATCTCCGCCAACACTTGTAAGCTGTGCGTAGTATACATCGTGTTTGGGCGTTATGCATGCTCCATGTGATACAACGGGAACCATAGCGCGATACAGTATAACTCTCGTCTAGACAATCTCGGTTCGTTAGAGGAGGACAAGTGCTCGTAGTAAACCAAGTCACTTAATCTTTCCAAGCACTTAGATCAACAAATTGTTCCTTATGTTACCTAAAAGTTATGCCAGGTGGTGCCGCCCGAAGGAGCGCGAACCTGGATAGCAGCAGCATGCGTACAAAGGTGTCATAGCAGAAACTGCGATTATCCGAGATCAACTACACGGCACGTTCCGAAAGAGTACCTGGATGTCCTCTGCCATATAGATAGAAAAATGTTCCCTCATGCTCCTCTCGAGGGCTCGTCCGTCGTCAGGTGGTAGTCTCATATCAAATGTTGTTATTAGTCGAGCAATAGTTGCCCGGATATTCATAAGGGCTAGGGGCTTGCCAATGCAGGTGTAAGGACCTGAAATATCAGTTGATATCTGGTAGTCGGGAGAATTCACCTGTCTACGTACCTGTTGTAAACGGGGCGAAGGCTGATCTCTCTTTGATCATTTTTGGATACAGGTACCATCGCTCAGGGATAAAGTCCTGGGCATTTTGATAGACACTCTCGGCTAGGACAGAAGGTTCATTAGTGCAGAATACCATCGAAATGCTTTGATATAGAATTGCTTACATCGACCAATGACCCACTGCGGGCAGGATACATGCATGTTCCCTGGCACATGCGTGCCACCGATGTTAATTCCCTCCGGCGGCGTCTTCCGTGGGAGATAGCTCGGAACTGGAGAGTGTATGCGGAGTGTCTCGTTGATAACAGCATTTAGATGTTTCAGGACTGCGAGACTTTCCTGAGTGTATTCTCCGTTCGGGTCAGTGGTACAGCCCATTAACTCGGTTCGGAGTTTCTGGACCTCTTCTGGACGACGGGCCAATTCGTATATGATTGTCGTCAAAGTCGTCGCCGTAGTGTCCCTATGGCTGTGGGTAACGAGCACACACAGAGTCATACTAGTGGTGACTTACCCCCCTGCATTGATAATCAAAGACGCATCTCCGAGCAGCACATTAAACTCGTCGGGTGTTGGTGCCCGTCCTTTCAGCGGTTCCAGCAGACACGCACTGATATCAGGTATATCTTGCTTCGTCTAGTCCCATTAGTATGGTTACTCAATGGACGAATTGTTCTTTCATCATACCACCATCCTCATCTTGAAGAGTTGGCCCCAGTATTCGTTGAACTTCCAGAATGCCTTGGCGGTGCCCGGAATGGATAACACTAGTCGGAAGAACCATATCGGCATCAGGTACTCCACCGGCTTGAGCATATCGTGTATCATCAAAATGGCCCAATGGGATGCACTTTTTCCCAACATGTCGAAACTTTGGCCGAATGCTAGGTCGCCCATCACATCATAGCCATACCAGGTGAACAATGTGCCAACATTTACGGGCTTGTCATCTTCCTTCGATTTGATATGGTTGATGAGCTTCTGTCTATATACTTGTATCCGCTTCTCGTATCCATGCAGGGCACGGTCAGTGAACCCTGGGTTCCAGGTACGGCGATGTTTGTCGTGGTCAGCCCTATTGCGGTGCGCGTGAAGTGACCTCAGTGGTGCAGAGACATCGTACCACTCACTCTTAGTACACGTAGATTTGAAGCCGTAGATGGCAGTAACGCCTTTAGGATGGATGATCGAGAGATCTGATGGCCCTACCCGAACAAAGTCACCATATTCATTGTGGAGGTCGGCAAGTTTGCGATAGAGAGTCTTGTGGCGAAGTTGGGCCGATAACCAGAACACTGAAACCCTTGATAAAAAGGGTCCCGGAAATCGCCGAAGTGGATGGAATATGAGACGGTATAGCACGAGGCTGCTGTATAGACCAAGTAAATGGGTGAATATCAGGTACAAGGATTTGGAAATCGCCAAGTTGACAGGGAATTCTTCCGCGTGGTAGAGAAAGGCTGCGATACCGATGAATGATCCGAAGTAGCCGTAAAGGTACCTAGCTGGATATAGATGATGCTCGCCGATACGAAAGTAAAGTATATGGATCAAGATGCCAAGGGCAAAGGCATACAGAGCTGGCTTTTCCTTGAGATCCATGATGTAGTTTGTGAGCAGCGAATGGTGTAATAACATTTGAAGGGACAAATTGCCCTCAAATACCCAAATCATAGTCTAGATCAGCTGATAATCTTGGTTTCGGAGCTTATAATTGAGAAGTGGAAGCTTAACTACTTCAGACCCCGTGGTATAACCTCGTCGTACGAGTAACTTCCTGTGGAACATATATTCGACTACAAAATATGAGCAGTGGCACAATTGTATGTATGTAGTCTGCAATCCTGGTAGAACAAAAACTCTATCTCAGACAGAAACCAGGAAGGAAGACGAGCAACGTATAGTGCATTATCATTTGTACTAGGTAGACCTCAGAATGCATTCCACGGCGTGTATGCATTGCAGCAGACAGGGATGAGCGAGTCTGTCTTTTACCGTTTTGGCTACCGAATTCCTAAACTCGACTTGAGCAGCTTGGGGTTAGCCAACGAGTCACAAGGTATATGTGAGTGTTTGACTTTATAGCTACATGGTGCTCCCTGTCTTTAGCTTACATACAATCTTATCTGTGGTACAGACAATCAGCATGGGTGATACGAGAGGCGTACCAGCTTTTGAATGTGCTTCTCCGCAGTAGTGAAACATGGGATCTCCATCAGGTTGCCCGGCATCTCGACTGCCATATTTCCATATCAGTCAGCCATGCCGGGCAACAACGATATGGGACGAATCAGATCATCCAATGGTTCCAGCTTCAAAGAGATGACTTCTTTGTTCTGTCAAATGGTTCATAGAAGTCGGTATCTGCAGTTAGATTGCCCTAGAGTAGATATACTGGTGATTAACACCTTTACCTGTTTGATCCCCATCGATGCTAACTCTGGATGGATGCTTCAGTTTACCTTGCTTGGATAAGGCATTCGCCGTGACTCGCTTCTGTTTCATCGTAGTTTCTTCCGCTCATCTCCCGTCATTCCCAGTTCACCGGAAAAACTTCGTCGAACGCTTATATGTCGCGTCCGAAGAGCTATATAAATACCTTTACTGGTGTAGCCGGGACCGAACGAGATCCATTTCAGAAAGGTTTACCAAGTGAACGTAGTTCGACTTGGTACCACATAGGGCCGTGGTGGCTGGACAGTGTGACTCCTCCACATGGTGGTAAGTATTACCCACCATAGTGGGTAAATGAACCATGAGCTTCAACTGACAGAATGGGAATGTTTGTGATACATTCTCGGAAGCTATACATTTCTTGATACGAACGGCGAGCATTTCCCGAGCGATGCTACTTTCCACCAATCACCAGATCTCGATCGTACCCTTCAAAGCCTGGATACACTGTTGCTTAGAGTCTTGGCTACTAGGCAATATCGGTCTTCATAACGGTTTATTCAGCCTAAATGCATCCTTTATCCACATAGCTTTCAGATCATCACCCATCAGAGAAGAAGTTGACACGAAATTTACCCCGCATAGCTGAAGCCAAGATGCGAAATAATTGCCCATACCAACATGCATTTTGCCGTTATACCAGGAGTACTTGGGGGTTTATTAAGGCGGCCGCTCTACGCCATGTCAAGTAACCTCTACGTCTACGCCTGATCACTAGAGATTACTGGAGGCCGATAAGTCTCCAAGAAACCACCATACCCATCGCTTATCGGATCAAGAGAAAATCACTGCAATGTCTTCTGGGATTCTGAAAGTTAAAGGAAGCAAAATCGTCGATGGTGACGGCAAAGAGGTCCTCCTTCGGGGTGCAGCCATCGGAGGATGGATGAAGTACGTCGCTCCCAGCTACTCCTGGTACCACAGCTTGCTATACTAATACCGTGACCCTTCTAGTATGGAGAACTT